TCACGTTTTTTTTTAATTTAGTCAAAGTTGGTTTTATTCTTTTTAGCTGAATATTTAAAATTATTTTGTTTCCGTATTATAATTCATATTTTTAGAAATTTTATTCACACATTATATTGTTACATGCATTTACCTGTACATTAAATAAGTTCAATATTTTGTATACAATAGGTAATCGTGCAGAGTTTAATGTAACTTTAAAAAGAGGAGTTATAAAAAAAAGGATAATAATTGTATTATGAAATTGTGTTGAAGAGGAAAATGAAATAAAGAAAACAAAAATTTTTTAATTCAATTTTAGGGAGCAAATACTAAAAAAATTACAAAAATCAATTGAATTTAAAAAGACAGAGTGAGAGAGAGAGAGAAAAAAGAAAAATAAACATAAATACACAACAGGGTGTCCCAATGCAAGAATGTATTTTTTGTCAACAATGCTACATAACTGTTCTTTTATATTATTTAATATATAAGTGTCTATGTATGTACGAATACATTTGATTTACTTTTTACTGTAAGTTTCGCGTAAAATTCTAAATGAATACAAGGTAAATATGACGAAGGGTTGACATCAGCTTGAATTGAATGGATTTAATTTTCTGTCATTATTTTAAAGTATTAGTCTGCGCACATATTATTTTATTCTTTTACAAAATATTTACATTAGAAATTTAATTTTGTAACGATTTCATATGGAGAACACATTCCATTCATTTATAAATAAAAAAGTGAACAGAAACTCAGTTGGTTTCCATATATTTTTTATTAAGAACTTTAATTATTTAAACATTTGTTTACATTTACTCATATTAAGTATGAATTGAATTCAAAAACTAAAGAAATTTCGAATTAATTATAACATATGTATGTGAGCTTGCTCGTCTAGAAATTAAATTATGATTAAAAGTGACTTGAAAGGTGTTTTAATTTACTAATTTTGAAATGTTTATTAGGACTTTGAACTGAAAATTTGTTTTTTTTTTAAACTTTGTTTGCTTAATAACTTATATGATCTATACAAGTATGGTTCATTTTATGAATTTTTAGCTGTTGTTTGTGATGAGCTTTTACAGGTATATTTATATATTAATCATTTGGCGAATTGTATTCGACAAATGTAAGCGCGGAGAACTTTCTTCCTTTCAAAATTTTTTCTTCAGGATATCGTTGGGTTGACCAAGTAAAACAGTCTTATTTCAATGAAATTTGTTTTCATATTTCATGTTTTCGCACACACCAGTTAGAATTCCATGAAGTCCTCATTTTAGAAAAATAGCCTGTCAACCGGCGTAAACAACTATGTCTCTTAAAAAAAGACAGTTGTATATTGTACAATAAAACTTTGTAAAATATTATTTTGATTTTTCTGCTAGATTTGCTAACAGTAAAGTTATATAAATTAGCATATGGTGCCTTGGAATAATTCTCTAAATAATAAAACAAATCCTCTCCAATGACGTCACATCTTAAAATGTCAGACATTCCGGCAGATCTTGTTGTTATTAGACAACGGGTTGCAATGCAACTATGAAAGGTCGATTTAGATCAATACAACATAAAAAAATCCGAGATTTTTATGTATTTCTTGAAAGTATTTAAAAATTAGGATATTAAAACGCACGGTTTAATTAGGGCTTTAGTGTACGGTTTTTGTAGTTTTATATCATTCGAGCAATTAGTTATCATCGAAATTTCTTGTTTAACTAGATAATAATCTTTTCTTGTGGTTTGATAAAATTAACAATGGCAGAGCTGCACGCCATATTTAAACTTTGCAAACTTTGATTTCCAAAAATTGATATTACTATATGCACATATCTAGAGTTACTCATTCATATAAAAGAGGAATAAGGCACAAGTTATTGCTTCAGTAAACTCTGATTCCAAAATTGCTTGATTCACGAGACATAATTAATCTTCGCCCTATAAATTAAAGTACATTGAATCATTATAAAAATACGATAATTCGTGCCATGAATTCGACAAGCTCCTACTTACATATACTTATGTGCAAAGCATATACATACATATGTATGTTACATAAAAGTATGTTAGTGTATATTATAAATTATTTCTTCAACTTGCAATAATACCAAAGCTTAAAATTATATTTTTAATTAAAAAGTTCACGTTACTGTAAAATCTTTCACTATAAATAATTATTTATAAGTTTTTAAGCATAAAAATAAGGTATAAAAAACATGTCAATAACAGAAAACAACCGTTAAATAAATAATTATAATGGCTGCCATTTATATATTTTATAAAAACAAATACCCTCTTCTTATAATAAATAATAACATAAATAAATAACACTTTTAATAAAATGTCTTTTTCGTCTTTTTTAAGTGAATAAATAAATAATCCGTGAAATTATATCAAAAGAATAAATAAATATTTATGTATACATAATCTGTATTTTCATATAATTTAAAAATTTATGTATCTACATATAGTTACAATGGGAGTGACTGAATACGATATAGAATATCATAATCAAGTAAATATATAAGAATTGACTCCACCCCGATTTTCAAAAATTCTCTCAGAGAATTCATACATATTAAAATTCCTTACGGGAAAATTTCAGGGGTGTTTCTGTTACTGAAAACGGGTAGAATAAAATATGTATAAGTTTAATAGATACCATATTAAATAAATTAAATGTAATAAAGTTTTGTATACTTCAAATGTAATAAAATATTAATGAAAATATTGAAGGAATTTTAATATGAACATTTTGGTATTGTTTTATCATCAAGAATTGTAAATAATGAATAAATTGAAATTTCTCAAATCCTTAAAAAACAGAACATTTCCCTTTATTATTATATATAAAGTGTACACCTTTCAAATACTTACATAAATGATTTCAAGTTTAAATTATGAAACCAAAACTTTATTGACGTAATTCTTATTCTATTACTATTCTTATTCTCAGTTTTGCCATATCATATTGCATATGCAGGGGAGGAGTTTTGATGTAATAATCAAAAAAAGTTCATAAAGATATCATAAGGATTGAACTAGATTGCTAATTAATTTTTAGCACTTTTTAGACACTTTTTTTGTTTACAAAACTTTTACACCCTTGAAGATAGAAAGCTGAAATACGTACATAGATTTTTACTAAAAACTCATTTCCGTAGAACAAAATTTTTACCTATCTCCCCCCTCTAGAAGTTATACCCCTCCAAAACCCAAAAAAATGGCCTGTTTTAACTATTTGTTGCAATGAAACCATAAGCATTTTTGAAATTTTGCAAACGCAGAAAGGCAGTGGCTTGCTTCCCCTAGCGCGGTGTATTATGGTTAAACTTTGAAAAAACAAAATTGCCGTTCAAATTTACCATTATCTAAAGTCCTTTTTTGCAAATTTTTGATTTCGTTTTTCTTCTAGACCCCAGCCTATAGAAGCTTGAAATTTTAGGGGCTCTTAGACATTAATAAATAGTTCATTTTGTTAGAAGAAAATTTTTTTCCTTCTTTTTCCCCGCTCAAGTTATCACCTCTTGAAATTTTTCTTAACTCATACAATTAACCCTTAAAATCGAGCATTATGTTAACCCCACTTTATACTAATATTTTCTTTATTTCAAAGACTGCATAAATCGTTCATCCTAAATATATGCAATCCTAGAAATAGTATCGTATATGAATGAAAATATTTTTAATAGTGTGGTAGATATACATAGACTGTTTTAAAGGCAGAATTTTCACTTTGAAGGGAAAAGTGCTACAATACAAACCATTGGTTTGACAAAACTTTATTTTTAATTTTGTTTAAATATAAACTATCAGACATAAAATATAAAACCTATATGAGATGAATGTATACTGGTTTTCCAAATACCTGATAAGCAGTTTTAAAATTTTGGAATCCATGTTGGTCCGGAGCATAATTCAAGTTTTCTAAATGGACTTGTTTAGATAGGTTGGTCTAGATAGTATAAACGGGATAGTACTTGATGCCATGGTATATTTGGTTGATTTATTGATTTGTATTTATTGCTAAAACATTCAAATGCCAAGCTTATAGGCAAAGGGGTGCTGATATTCAGTCAAAGAATGCTGGTATGCAAAGGCCAGCCGACTTTTGCTTCACAGGGTTAACATTATTTACAGATTAAGGCCAAGAAAAACTAAGATATGAAATTAAAGCAATAAGATTGAAACATTTCCCTTTAATATTATATTTAAAGTGTAGACCTTTCAGATACTTACATAAATCAATTAATCCGTGGGTAAAGGAGTTAGGTTTAGCGAAAGAGTAAGTCTACGGGACATGCCTTGGCAAAAAAACCGGGCTTTAAAAAGTGACGACATAATACTGTTTAGGCTGTATTTCATAGTTATCATAATCGGTCTATAATTGCGGTTTCTTTCCATAGATTGGTACTTTGTAGATGACATGTTTTTTAATCGGTTAAATTGGGTATATTTCAACTTAAGTAGATCGGACATGAAAATTGAGCGAAATAATTTCCTCTATAATATCTTTTCTCAAAAGAACTCTCTTCTCTTCTATATTTTCTACCTGCGTACATTAGTTTTAAACACAATATACATATTAAAACGAGTTCGAAATAAATAAAAAAATTCAATATTCAAATTAAACATTAAAACATATGTTACATATAAATACTGTCAGATACACTAGCTTATTGAAAACGAACGGTATAAACATCTAATAAAAGTAATGACTACATAATCATGCAATTTTATAAATACAGGGACAACTATATGTACTACAGTATATACTTGTATATATAGAAAGTATTTATATTTGTGCTAACGTGCGATAGGTAAAAAATATTTTATTAATAACAAAAAGGGATAGAATTATATACTGATAACAAAAGCTAAAGAGATGACTGGCTCGCTTTTATATTTTTCTTTTTCATTAAAATTGTTGTTGTACAGGATTTTCCCTTTCATTCCTTCTGCATGCAGTTATATATTTTGTTTTGTAGTTCAGTCTGAATTCAACGATTGTACGGTTTAGTCATAAAGTTTTATATAAAGAAATATAAAATTAATTAATGGTTATACGAGGTGACGAGAAAATTACAAAGAAAAGTTTTTTTTTGTGAAAAATAATTTTTTATAAAATTTTTGTAAAATACATTGGATTACGGAAAGTCAAAGAATAATTTAAAAATAAAATTTCAATATAAATATCGTGTTAATGAAAAAAATAAAATTATAAAGTTTTTATTTAAATTAATATTTAATTGAAAATTTGTAATACTGTTAGAGAAGTGAGAAAAAAAATTAGAAACAAAAATGCAGTTTAATATGAACGATGCTGCAGCATTAGCTGGTATGATACCATATGATTCAATTGGTTTATATGAACAACCAAAGCCTAGGTTTATATTTAAAATGCCAAGAGTAGTACCAGATCAAAAATCTAAATTTGAAAGTGATGAATTATTTCGAAGGCTGAGCAGAGAGAGTGAAGTAAGTATTTTCATTCAAATTTAATTTAGTATGTTTTGCAAAATTTTGAAAGGCGGATTAAAAATTTGTAAAAGGTAGAAAATGTTAGTATGATAATGTGCATTTTATTCTTTGAATGCGAATTGTGTATTTCTCTCTTTCGATAACTTAGATCAAGAAGAAATTAACATTTCCTAAGTGTCTATACTACTTTTTGTATATGCAATTTCCATTCATAAATGAGGACGGAACATACTACCTTATTGAAAATTATAGATTAATTAATATTTTTCTTATAATTTGTATTTAATTGAAAACAATTTTAAAATTTGAAGACTTCCACTAATTTATCTTGAAGCCAATCGTTTTACAAATAATTTCACTGTAAGAAAAGAAATTCATCAGTTTCAAAGTAGATAATTACAGTACCGATCTACAGTACTAGCAATAATTTTTTTAAGTTAAAATAATAATACAATATAATTATATTAATGCGAATAAAAATGGATTATAAAAGGTTTAGGTCTTCGGTGTACTTCAGATTTATTGTTATGAAAAAAGTATTTAGATGAATTGGACTGATATATTGATGGAAATTACAAAAACAATTAAAATTCGGAAACTGACGTTTTATACTATCTTTATAAGATTAATTATGCAAACATGTATTGGCTAAATTTTTTGAAATATGTATATCCTTTCGATAAACAATTGTCAGTTTCATACTTCGAATTGGGATCTTAAACCCAAATTTGAATCGATTGATTGAGGTAAATTTCTTCGAAGAAGTGTTAATACTTCGTATGTTGTATTTTATATTTTCTATATTCTAGGAAATTATTTAGTTTAAAATTCAAAATTACAACGAAATGTTTTATTTATTTGAAAGCTACCTTTAAAATTCACAAGTATAATGCATATGTTTACCTGGTTCATAAATAGGGATACTTAAAATTCAGTTCAATTTTAAAATATATTTAAAATTCAGTATGATTTCTAGTGCAATCATAAAAACAATATCAATAATAATAAATATTTATTACTTTGTTTTATAAATCCCTTAAAAATAATAATAAACGCTACCTGTGTATAAGGTTTATGATGAATTGTTTCAAATATTATTGTATAAAAAGGGTAGCAGTAAATTGGAAAAACCTGAAATTCTTTAAAACAAAAATATTAGTGCCTTTTTTTCGAAATGTAAATGAAAATTTGCGGGACCTGGTGTGATAATCAGTAAGCACCAAATGGGAGAGTTAACATAGATTATTTTGAGGTTTTTTCAAGGTTTGTCAACCTTACTCTTTATAAAATTAAAGCTCTTCGTTCAACGTGTATATACTTAAAATGGAGGGAATTGAAGAGGTTTTAGTCCAAAGGAGGAAAAGAACTTGACTAATACTGTAAACTTTTTTATGCAAAAATACTTGCGTCAATAATAAAATTTATTGTTTTAAGTTCCCAAAGTCACAAAGTGTCAAGTTCTTGTTAATTTTAAATAAGCTATCGTCGACCTAATATATGTCAAACTAACTTTATCTAAACATGCAGAAGTTGCAAATATTACTTCCATCCTCGTTTATTAAAATAAGTGAAAGATAAATAATATTTCTTGTGCAGGTATTTTAAGTATATTCATAAACAATTTTTAACAAAAGGTTTATTGTTCATACTTTGAAATCAAAAGTTTTCGCTTTTGGTCATTTCAAAAACTTTGGAAACATTAATTTTACTATCTCTCTCTGTCCGTCTGTTTATAAAAGTTTTGCATTGTTCAAGAAAAAATTAAATTTTGTACACGAGTACATTTTTATGAAAAAGTTGTTTCTTTATAAAACAAAATTTTATTTGTATCTTATTCTTTCCTTGAATTATTACCCCTAGAAGTTTGTAAAATGTAATTTTTCTATTTTCTTCAACATATTAATACGGATAATATTACGGTAATTTTCAAATAATAAATTAATATAATTAATTTAACTTAATTAACAATAATTCACTGCAATAAAAATTTGTTAAAAAAATCCGAATTAAGATTACTCCAAATTTTATGCAAAATTTTATGCTTAGCACATAATAAGAAAATTCCTTCCTATCTTTTAAATTTAGGTAAACAAACACAAACTCCAGATCTATTTGTTAAAAGAAATGTCCTTTTTTCTAAACCATTGTTTCATTGACCACATTTTTTACATTATGTATATAGTTTGACGTTAATTCTAATTTCAACTGCGTATTTTGACAATAAAAAAAGAAACGACTTGAATCCGATTTATAATTAATAAGGTGCTAGTTTTTTTTAAATATTAATTTATTTTTTCAATCAAAACCACATAATTAGAATAAATTCATTGAAAATAATTTTATATATTGATAAACATATAAAAATCGTATTATAGTTTATATGTGTAGTTACGGCTTCATAATATGCCTTGTCATTCCAAGCATGTCAAAGTCATGTCATTGCAAAACATGGAATTTCCAAGCTTTTTTCAAAAATATAAAATTTGAAACCATTAAAATTCGTGACTTAAATTTTCACAATTTTCTTCATCTCTTCATTTGAAATTTTATTGCTTCATTTTTTACTTTTCGTTTTAAACCTCATGTCACACAATTTTCTACCTTACGCCATCATTTTTATAAAAAAAAGGAAAATAAGAGACATTTTTTGGGAATCACCTCAAAATATTCTGTGCAAATACATGTAAATGACTAATTTTAAAAATACCTTTCAAATAATATCCGGATCAAAAGTTGTTTCCTAAGGTAATTCTTTGAAAACCGGTAGTGTATTATTTTCAAAAAAACGTCATTACTTTTTTATCTAATATCTACAATAAAAGTAGCTTTAAGAAATCGTCATAAAACTATTTACATATTAATTCAGCTATTTCCGTCGCATTGAGCTTAACTTAAACATTTTATTCGTAAATTTTTTTTATAGTTTTATTTAATTTCTTAAGCTCGTCATCATGACAATGACGAGCTTATGAGATAACAATAATAATTTTATAATGATTAAAATACACAGAACGTTTTTTTTCTTCTAAAAGCTATTGAAGTTGAACAGGTGTAATAAATATACAAAAACAACAATTGTCTGAATGAAATCATGTGTGAGAAGATTTTTACTACGTTTTGTTATGAGTGTTTAAAGCAAGCGAAAAAGCTTGGTACAGATTGTATTTTTTATTTTCTTTTTGTTTTTTTTTAACTAATGTTATTGGTATTTCCTCAGTTATTTGTTTTTCTACCTCTCTAGATTGAGGTCGGTGAATCATAAATCAATAGTGTATAAATTAAATTATGAGCGGGTGCTTTTATATATTTCAAAGAAAAATGGTTTTTGATTTAATTTTTTTTTTAAATAAGTTGATAATAAACTAAAGATTTCTTAGAGAGCGCATTTCATTGAAATATTAATTAAAATGAATTAATACAAAGTTCAATAATTTTATTTTTATTTGCATAACAGTGATTCTTTTGCAAACTCTCATCAATCCCGCGAACAGTTTTTTATTTCCTTTCTACACTTGAGAAGAGAGGGCTTCCACTTGACTTTACAGAAGTATACTTCAATTTCATAAGTCTAAAAGTCGATTAGACGGATTACTAGGCTTCTGGAGTTTTTTGTTTTATATTATGTATTTAAAGTTATTGATACGGAATATTATGGGTGTATTTACGTGATTAATCTTAATTTTTTAATTTCTAGTATTGGATATATTGGATATATAGTATTAAATAATTTTTTAGAATACTTTACTGGAGTTTAAACCCGAGAGTCTTTGCCTGAAGGATAGTACGAATTGCTAAGAGTGTTATTATCACGTATATTCCTAAAGAGTCATTATTAAATATTATCTACGTTGGTATCTAGAACAATGTTAGAAAAGGGAAATATTATGTTTTAAATTCCTGATTAAAATGTTTGAAACTGTAATGCTTACCTAATACAAAGCTTATTTTATTCACTTATCACATGTTAGATTTTATATTAAATTCACTCTCAAGTTGTGGACGAGTGGTAAAACGAATAAACAAACAACATTTTGTTTTTTTCTTGTTAACTTTTTGGGAAATGTACTAAAAATCAACTTTGTTTACCTATGTTTTTGTGTTATTTACTTAAGAGGATTTTCAAGGTGAACAACATACATATATAATTTTTTTTTCGTTAAAATAACTTGTTTTCAAATTTGGTGTTATATTGAATTTTTATTAATAAATTTTTTATATGCTGCTTTCTCTGTTAATCACTTATATATGCTTTACTAATAAGTGATCATTATCACATATTATTCGACAGCAACAAAAGAAAAATCTAGATTAGATATAGTGTTGACGGTGACAACACTGTAATATCTTATGAATCAATGGTTGTTAAGATTTGAATGAGAATCAATACACGGATTTGTACCGCACATTGTTTTACTAAATACTACCGGTTGATATTAAAATCATTCCTGCTAAATTTGAAATGATAATTTGAATATTTTCAATAATAACTTGAAATACAATATTATTTATACTATATACCTTACCAATAAGTTTAATTTCAGTTTTTATTAATTCAGTTAAATTAACTGCAAAATCAACTCACAATTCGATGAAGAACATGAAAACATTCCTATCTCTTAAATCAATTCTTTGCCTTACAAACGGAACGGTAAATGTATAATATTTTGTGAAAATAGTTTGCATGTAACATTTAACGTCATACTTATAACTAAAAATTTTTTTTAAATTTTGTCTAATTGAGATAATTTATCAGACTATGATGTTAAAATAAGGCGAGTAAATAAATAATTTATATTGAATCGGTATGGTTGCAGAGTAGGTTCGAGAATTCGATGAAATTCATATAACATGTTTAATGATAAATTATAAACACTTTGATGGAGACGTTTATATATATATATATATATATATATATATATATATATGTTAAGATCAATTTGAACATTTTTTTCAAACTTTTAAGCAACGGGTCAATTTAGTTAGTATTTAATATAATAAATTAATAGTCTGCAGTTAAATTTAGGCATATTTTTTTATTTGTAAAATTGAATTTTTTTAATGAAAAATACAAGGTTGGAATGTCGCACTATTGCAGAAAATGGAAATTCCATAGAAAATTTAATTTCATTTGCAAAAATATTTATTGAATTCACGTGCAAACAAAATGTAAATCTAACGCGAATGTGTATTTCAAAATTAAATTCTAATTATTTGGAAAATTTTCTAAGTTATTGTAAAAATTTTAATATAGTTCTTAATACTATAATTACTATTGTATGACAGATTGTTAATAAATTGTTTTTTTTTTTCGATTTTAATAGATATTTTCAAGTTATATTATATTAGTACACTTACGTTTGTAATTATAGCAATGTATTGGGAAGATCAACATTCGTTAATAACGTAATATGAAAGACCAGCATTATAGATCAGCAATACTTTGCTTTTCATCTATTAGACCTTATATTTAATCATTTAAAGCAGATTTGAATTTAGTTGTATAAACCAAATTTATGCTTTTAAATGAATTTTCATTTAAAAATTTATAAAGAATTAATACAAGTTTCTTTTTACAGATTCGTTATACGGGATATCGAGAAAGAGCACTCGAAGAACGTCAAATACGTTTTCAAAATGGTTGTCGTGAAGGTCATACAGAAATATCATTTGTTGCATCTGGAACAAATTTACAATTAGTATTTAATGCAAATCAAAGTCCTTATAATCCAGATAAAGAATGTGATTTTGACAAAGAACATGGAAAGGTGAGTTTTACATATAAAGAAAACATATTTTTTCTTAATTAATTGTTATAAGTTGTTACATGAATTGTAAGAACAATATTTTAACTTTCAGACCCCATAAAATTTTTTACAACTATTAAACCTGATTGGGGATAATTTTATACCAGTCTTTAATCTTACTTTTTTGTGTAAATCTGAAGCAAAAACAAAATTAAATTTTTAGTACTCTATGGTATTTTTTAACAGTAGTCATACAGAAGCTCAGATAAACCCCCCCCCCCCCCCCCCCCCCCTCCCAAATTATTTAACTTGCGATTTTATATTTATGCTATTTATGCTTTTCTGTTGAAAATGCCACATGTAAAATTAGTGATTTTCATAAATAAAATTCGTTCTTTTAAAATAATTAAAATTGTGTTTAACAATTTTCTTCTTAAAGGCCATTTTCGTTATTTAGAGTGGTCGTAACCGTATAGAGAACTGAATAAGAAATCTTACCCTTATAGGACAAAAATTCTCATATTTTATAAAATTTAAAAAAGCAGAAAAATTCCCATATTTTATTGAAAATTACGAAAATTTACTTTAATTTCTAGATTAAGTAATCAATACCATCACTGACTATAGGATTTAACAAGCTCGAATACTATGTTTTTGTTCTTTTGACTAAAATATCTTGTTTTTTTTGTAATGCAAAATGTACCTTTGTTAAATGTCCTTATTAAAAATCTAATCAATCAAAAAAACATAAAATTGTTTTTTTTTCTTCTATTCGCATTGTTATTTGTCCATTTTTTTAAGGATAACAAATTAAATAATTTAAGTGGCTGGAAAATATTGATTCGTTCTAGTAGCTTAAAAATATAATAAAACCTTTGACATAAAATTAAGAATATATATATTATTTCTATTCAAAGACAAGGATATGAAATGAAAATATCAAAAATTAGATAAAAAAAATATAATAGTAAAAATGTGCGTCCTGTTTAATAATATCTGTGCCGAAAATTTCCATTTTTCAATATTTTATTTGAAATTGTGAGAAATTTAATTTTCAAATTTTTTACATTTAATCTTGAGTATCATAAATATATTTTGAATAATTTTTGGGGTGGGTCTGAAATCCTTGCAAATTTTATGCAAGCTTGTTTAATTTTATTCTTCTTTTCTGGTAGTGCTTTTATATTTATGTATACACTTTAAGAAATGAGTGCGTCTAGTCTGATTTTGTAGATTTTGTGTACACTCGAAATGAGGTAAAATAAAGAATACATGTATATGTACGTACAATATATATGTATGTCTATTTACGTTTTTATGTGCATATACGAAAAAATAATGGGTGAAAATGGTTTCCATGGTATTATCATTGATTTTTTGAACTTTTCTTCTTCCATCCACTTCTAGATATCATGATAATTTTTTTGCTTTCAATTTTTTAAAAAAAATCAGTAAAGTCCTTTTTTTGTTACAAGTATATCCTGTTTTTCCAGTATACATTCATTTGCACATAGGCACACATATTTGTATATATACATACATATATATTTGAATATAAATAACATTTTCAATTTTTCAATTTATTTTATTTATTTTTTCTTATTATTATTATATTTATTTATACAATATTAGCTAACTACCATTAACTTAAATATTAAACAAAAAATAGTTGAAAAGGATATATGTATATTTGTATGTGTACAAAGAAAAGGATATTTGATATTTTATGTTCATTCTTTTATTTTATTTTTCATTTTTAATTTTTTCTTTTTTATTATTCAAAATAATGCAGACAAGTTTTATTGAAATCATCTTAATGTGAAGCGCATGCGAAATTTAAGAATATTATTGACAATAAAATAAATATAAATAATATACATACATATATCTACATATATATATATGTATCTATACACATAATGTCTAAATGTATATGAAAATATAAATGGAAATTTTGTATATAATTACAGTATGTTGATATATTTAAGCATATAAGAGGGATCGAAAATTTCATTTTTTTTTGGTATATAAGGGGAGATGAGATTTTTATTAAATGGAGATAAGGTAAATAATGAAATCAAATGAGAATGGGTATGTGTTTATATTGTATAAAAATGTATGTCGGTATGTATGTAGGTATATGAATAATTTAAAAATGTATAATATACATTTTTACATATAGTAAAATTTGCCTATACAAATATTTATGTACATTATTCTTACAAATATTGTTGTATTTATAGGAAGCCATTTTGGAAAATTTATTTCAGAATACAATAAGTTTGTTCGTATTTTTTAAAATTTAAATAAAATTTTGATTAAGGCTAAAAAATAAAGTATGAGGGAAGGACCATTTTAATATTTAAAAAACAATTTTTATATAAAAAATATAATTAATTTTCCATGCATACTTATACCCTATATTTAAGAATTTTGAATTTTTAAATTTCAAATTTGAATTTCATAGACAATTTTTAATCATGTCAAAATTTTAATTATTTACAATGTTTTCTACCGTGTAAAAATTTTTAAAACTTTTGTCATTGCAATTTTTTGTTAAACAATAAAATTTTTATTATAATAAGTAATAATTCGAACAGTTTCCCAAGTAGTTATTTAAAACAATTAAATTTAGTATTTTACAGCAAAGCAATGCTGTAAATTTGTTCTAAATCTATTACGTACTTATATAAGGTACATATATGAAAATAAAAAAATGTCTACGCTTTTGATATACGCAATAAACAATTTACATTTAACATGTTGTGTAAGTTTACTATTATATCTTTAAGCGAGGTTTAGGTTTTTTCTTACATGTTTTATTACTTTTCAAGAACTACATAATTGTTGTATTCCAAAGAAAATTTCAAAATTTTTGGAGGATTATTTTGAGTAATTTTAAGCTTTAAAAATAACTTTACAATTATTATTCTTTTTTACAATGAAATTTTAATCTAAAGCTGATGGAAAGATCTAGAAATCTGCTTTCTGTCAAATTTGATGTTTGCATTGTGTTATTTATATTTCTTTAATCAAATCTATAAGATTTCCCGGCTTAAAATTTATGGTTGTGACATTCTGAGTGCATATAATATTACAAATTTATATACATATATCACAGATAGTATTACAGATTTTAGTATAGATTCTAAAAGTTCTGCAATTTTTTTTTTAAGATTAAGGTTCTAATTGAATTATAAATAATATTCATTAAACGTGTTCTAAAGTTCTTTATTTTTTAAAAAAGTGGTAGTCGTACTTTTCTTTTAATAAGATTGTCTATATTAAAAGATTTAATACAAATAATAATTTAAAAAAATCTAAATTAAAGATCTAATATCAAAATAATCGAAGTTTCAAAATCATTGAAAATATCGTAAATTTAAAATGCAAGTCCAATTGTTAATTGAATATTAAACAACCTCTTTATTCCAAAATTTCGAATATATAATAATGCAAAGAAGTTCACCTAATTTACCTTTCCATTTTTAATTCTAAAAATTCGGGAATAATCTATCAGAATCAATGTGAAAGAATCTATATGAAAATTCAGTTTAATTTTGGGAAGATTTTGAAATAATAAAACTAAAACGTTAAATTGATGAAAATTAAATAAAAAGTTAAAACTATAATGTTATTTTCCGAAAGAGTTCAAATTTTCGTTTAAAGATTTTTAATTCTAAGTTGTTTTAAACAGAATATAATATTTTTTTCAATGATGGTAACATGCGATATTGATCTTAATTTATATTTCGGTATTTTTAATTTTAAATTTAACCTTTTTGAACACTATTTGTAATTTTTGGAATTCTTTAAAATTATTTGTTGTATTTGATGTCCAAATAAATCCATGAAAATGACTAAATTACAAGTCATTTATCACACTTTAAAAAAAATATATTTCTTTCTTTACCTAATTTAAGTAAACCATAAGTTTTATGGCTAAACAATTTACAACATTGGAAAAAAAATTGTATAACATTTGTTAAAATGTTTAATTTTTCTGTTCTTATGCCTACGTTACGTACATACATACGCATGTAAAATGCACTTTAACTCTTAAGAATAAAAATTTACAAAATTCATTAGAAGAACAATTTTCAAAAGCAATTAAGATTGAAAAGACCTTCAAAAAAGAAAAAGTAATTGAGAAACTTTTTTTCTCAAAATTTTTAAAACATTAAAACGTAATGAAATTCCGAAAGGACTTGGTTTAACAAAATTATTATTCGTTTCTTTTTCTGAATCTTAATTTCTTGATTTGACATATTTCAACCAACTGTTGCTCGCGTGCCTTAAGAACCGATCACGCTAGGGATAATATTCAACTTTTTTTAATTTTTACGTACTGGTATGTAGGTTCTTTAGTTTTAAAATATTTTTGAGAATTTTCAATCTTACAATTTAATGATACGGTCTTAAGTTTTAAAATATTATTTTTAGAACCTTAAAAATAATTACGTACCAATAATAAAAAAAAGGTTTCGGGTAACCTAAAACATTAACGTATGGTGTTGTCCGACAGTAATTTTCACAAAAATGAAATAATGAAAAGAAAGAATGTCAATAAAAATGATCTTGTACAGTTTTGAAATTGTTGTAAACTTTGATTTTTCGAGATAAATTAGAATTTTGAAAAATAATGTAACTTTTAAAAATTATTTTTCAGATTCAAATTTAAATAATAAATGGAATAGTCCTTCTCAAAAATTGTCAATCTGCTACTTACAAAATTATTTCATCCTTACTTTAATAAGAATCATTTGCCTTTAATTACAAGTTAAATTAACTTTTGCCCACTGAATTTTCGATAAGTTTTTAATATCGCGTAATATCGCATAACATAGTAGACACGCAATATAACAGACTGGCAATAATATTTCTTTAATATTTTAATTCTCTTCCTATAATTTATATCTATGCTAGATTACAGTTAATGTGATATCTAGATTACAGTTAATGTGATTATTAAATTTTGAAATTTTTACATTTTGCTTAATTTTTTAAGTAAAAGCAAATTT